GCAGGGTGTTTGGAAGAGAATATGTGCGGCAGTAGCCCCAAACACGCGGAGCTTGCTAATTGCCCTTCCCAGGAGGCAAAGCCGCCGAAGGGGAAGAAGCGTGCAGCAACCTACGGGAAACGTGTGGACGCAGAGATTAAGAAGTGCCAAGCTGCCAGCAAACCCGGGGAGCTGATTCCCAAGTCCGCGTTCGGGCGCGTGGTGCGCGACACCCTGACCAAATTGAATGAGGAACGCATGAGCATGACAGAAGTCGTGGCTGGACAGGTGGTTCAGCAGACTGAGGAGGTGAAAATCAGCAGTGAGGCTCTGCTTTTGTTGCAGGAAGCGTCCGAGGCGGGCTTGGTGAAGCTTCTAAGCGTTTGTCAGTTGACCGTTGTATTCTGCTGCATGTCCTTTGCAGGACTTTTGCAGCGAGCTGATGGCTATGTACCAGATGGCGGCTACCCACCGCAAGCGCCAGTGCATCAACGACAAGGATGTTGTTCTAGTGAGGGCAATGGCAGGCCATTTCCCATCATTCATCGCCGAGATCCTGAGATCAGATAACACGGCCTGCGCTGCCCGCCTTGAAGAGGCAAAGGCCAAGCGTGCCAAGAAGTAGACATGCGGCCGCAGGGCGCGAAGCAGGGGTCGCTGAGCTGCGGGGGCAAAAGCGGTGGCTGAAGCAATTGGGCAGTTGGGCAGTTAGAGTGATGTTTTGGCAGACAAGCATGCCCCAAGAAAAAACCATTTTCTGGCCCCCAAAATCGTGTTTTTTTGTTTCCTCCCTTGGCGCTTGTTTTGCAGGCTGCGTGGACTGTCCCTATGCTGCCAACGGTTGCGTTTGGCTGGCCAGGTTGTGACTGCCTGCAGGCACCCGGTTATAAATTGTAACGGGGCTGTTGTGGCGCAAGACCGCGCAAGGGCGGGCGCAAGGCCCCATTTCGCACTACGAGCGCCCACATATTTTAGAACAACCCTCATATCAAAAACTGGGTTGCCAAGTCAGTAAACATCCGAACAAAATCAGCCGGGAATCAATATCGTCAAGTTCCCTTTCGCCATTCGCCTGATATTTTTTGGAATGCAACCGGCGGCCTAATTCTTCCTTCCTTGCCTACATGAGTCACCTTTCTCTCCCTTCCTCGCCCCTCCCCGTTTCCGCCCGCTGGCCAATGACTAAAAATGACGAAGGCCAAATGGGTGGCTTGAGTGGGGATGTGTCGAAGTAGACGCATCCAAAAGAAGTTGCACCCCCCCCCCCCAAAAGTCCTCCTGTTGACTAATCCGAGGTTAACACGAGGGTACTTGGATGGCTTGGATATGGAATTAGGTGTGTCTTTTGATGAGGGTACCCCTTTTGCTGTGTTTTTAAAGGACGCCACCACCATCTTGAGGGTTGAACCTTAAAAAGACACACCCGATTGGTTTGTCACGTCCGGTATCCTCGAGTGCCTTCTATGGGGAGGAAACACACCTGACAATTTGCTCGATACTCCAAAAGGTTTTCTTCAAAGGGAAACGCACCTTCTGTGTCAATTTCTTCCACTAGGGTAATCTTCAGGGGACCCGAACCGGGTTCCGATACACAGACACCGGATCGCCTGCACCGTTCACTCACACATTTGTGCTTCTTCGCATCTTCGTTAGGAACCCGAGATGGTGAATTTACCCATGCAACGGGTCACCCAGAAGCTCACAGCGACTCGAGGCTTACAACTTCACGGTGCTCGCGTGCAACGACGCGGGCTGCTCAGGCGTCGCGTCGGCTCGGCGCGAGCCGGCGAGCCGGGGAGCCGCGCCGGCCGAAAGGAGTCGAAACCAGACACCAGTGTTTGTTGGTATTTACAGGGGAATCGAGCCATTCCAGGGTTTCTAAATGGTGCGAAATGGATTTCGCAACCATCCACAGTATGTCCCTGTGTAGTTGGCACTGCGGAATTGGTATTTGTCCTAGGCTGGCAAAACTTCATGGCCAGACAGGCTCAGTGGTAACCAGTGCAGGTGTTTGGTGCATCGAATGGTACATCTCGGGTACATCAAAATAGGGGGACCCCCAAAACTGTCCTGTTAGCTCCTCTACCCTGCACTATAACATGTTTTTGGTGGAGACTCAGACCAAACCAGAAAGGTACACAGGAAGTGTCCAAATCACGGGGGAATAGGTGCTCAGGAGTTTAGGATTACTTGCAGGGGACTGGGTGTGTGGTCTAGAGGGAAACATAATGGAAACCAAATGTTTAGAGGGTTCCTCCATTCTGAGACCACTTTGGTTTGTCTAAAAATAAGGGGCCCCCAAAATGGTAGGTTTCCTTTGGGTTTGTAAAACCATCCAACAGAGGGTCCCCTATTTTGAGACACACCCACTTCCATGATTAAGTTGGAAGGCGGGGAAACCATGTCAGGTGTTGACAGTTTTACGCGATTCGGGAAAGCTCTGCCGGCAGCCCGGCCTGGAAAATGGGGCATCGCAAGAGCTAGAGAGCTAACCCCCCCCCCCCCCGCCCCTGCTCAACGAACGGACCCCCCCCTTTTAAATAGTGCCATGAGGGAAGTTCATGGTGGTTCTTCTGGTTGCCTGGGCATCGAATTTTGCCAGGACATCCGCCTTCCCGAGCTTATGGACTTTAATTATGGAGCCCGTACCCCCCCCCTCCTTTACCCCCCCCCCCCTTTAAGCTTAAAGGGCTTCTCTTGCAGGGGAGGCTTAGGAAGCCTTGCGGAAGCCTTGCGGAAGCCTTGCGGAAGGTTTGGGGAAGCTTGGCCTGACATTCGCCCTGCGCATGGCGGGAACACTGACAAGAAATACCGAACCTTCAAATTAGGTTAAAGAAGCCTTGGGAAGCCTCACGGAAGCCTTAGGGAAGCCTTAGGGAAGCCTTAGGGAGGCCTTAGGGAGGCCTTAGGGAGGCCTTAGGGAGGCCTTAGGGAAGCTGGAAACCTTAGAGAAGCCCTAGGGAAGCCCCAGGGAAGCCCTAGACAAAGCCGTACGGTCTCCTTGGGGAAGCATGTTTGCGGAAAGCTTAGGGGGACGCAGCACTTTCAGAAAAAACAATTCGAATCTCTTCTGATTTCCCTAGGTTGGGGGGACGCAGCAAAGTAACGCAGCTCGAATGTCCGATCAAAATCAAGGGGTCTCTTAGGTTCAGCTTAGGAAGTCTTAGGGAAAATGTTGCTATATCCACTTCCTAGCCACCCTAGGGATAGGACCTAACTACCTTAAGGGGGGGGGGGGGTAGGGGGGGGGGTACAGGCATTCATAATTTAAGCAACTTTTTGGGAAGACCATTTGGTTAGCGGCCAGAAAGCACTGAGGTACGAGGTCGGGCTATTGAAAGGTGGCAGAACAAAGCACCCAATTTGGTTTCGTCCTCCCCTTCACCTGCTGAGACTTCGCCTACTTTCACCCTGTAGGGTTCAACCTGTTCCGGATTGTTTGACCAATCTGATTGTAACGGCTTGGCATTCGGCATTCATTTGAACCTCTTGCAACCACTCCCGGAGTTGACCTCAAAAAGTGACAAATCTCCGCCAGTGGCAACCCCCCCGTATTTAAAGAAAACAAATACAGCTGGATTCTTCATATGGGGTATATAGTAAAAACAGTGGCACCCCCACAATATTGCTCAACCCCTGTTTATCAATATGGGAGTGTTCTCCTCCAAAAGTCATAAATCCGCAGTAAAACCAGTGGCACTCCCCATAAAAAGAAGAAACAAAAACAGCTGGTTTATTCATCTGGGCTCAACATTACTCAAGAAATGCGCCTTCACCGCCTCCATCCCTCCGGATGCGTCAGACGGCGCACTGCTGCGGGCCGAGACTTTTGCGCCGCAAGCGGCGGCGGCGCCGGAGCTGGAGTTTGTGGAGGTGCAGTGTCGAGAGGGGTGGGCAACACGTGGCTGGCACGGGGCCCCTAAGAGGGCTCCCCATATTTTTATTTTTGTTTTTGAGGTTAGAAGTAGATGGGTTCCACTGGTTTAGATGGGTTTCACTCCATCATAGGTTTTTTCTTCCCCAGAATTAGCTCCCCTTTGTCTTTCTTTGTTTTTGTTTTTGCTTTTTTTGGGTTCCCTTTGTTTTCCATGAACCAGGCAAAAATGATATGTTTTTGCAGGGGTCCTAATTCCAGCCAAGTTTTGTAAATCGGGTAGAGGTAAAACCTATGGGATCCCATTTTGGGGGTTTCGGTGCACCACCCATCTTAGTCGGGATTTTAGTGGGGATTGAATCGGATGTTCACTGGGGGTACGGAATTTGGCTTTTGACCCATGGCCATGGATGGCACTGGTTTAGACGGGTTTCATTCCATGTAGGGACATTTGTTTTCCCCACAAGGACGCCGATGGGGTTCCTTCCATTTCCTTAAGGGAGCCTCCAAAAGGGGCGAGCGTTTCAGTATGGCAACCAGTAATTGGATATGTTTTTGTTCAAAGGAATCGGACCCCCTCAAAATGGTTTTCGGTGTTCCTTTGGTTTGCCTTTAAAG